GAGGGGGAAAAAATTGAGAAACGGAGAGATGGAGGGAGAGAGAGAGAGAGAGAAAGAAGATGGCGGATTAATAATTTAGAGGCGTCGCGGAAAGAGAAACAATTCTAAGCGCCGTTTCCATCGCCGGCACTTTATCATCGGGGGGGCCAACCGCGCGAACGTTCGCTCGTAAATAAATCGTGAATCCAATTTGTGGCCGCCATAAATCAATACGGGAATCACGATCCTCAAAGGGCGAGGAGAGAGAGACAGAGAGAGAGAGAAGTCTTCGACTCTGACAGACCGGAACCGGCGACACGATCGCGTTCTTCCTTGCACGATTCAGCGTTTAATAGGGATCCGAAATAGAATCTCGGCCGATCTTTGTATTCGAGAGTTCGATCGGTCTCGAGATCGAGAGGATCCATAATAGGGATGAAATGAATTTGTTTTTAACTTGTAAGAGTATCATCTCTGATGCGACAGATTGATATTATTTTTTCTGTATGCCTCTGATGTCCCTTTATTTTTTCTTTTTCTTTTCTATACGAGTTAAAGATTCCATAAACGAAACAAAGTTCATTTATAAGGCACGAAGATTTGTAGAAAATGAGACACAACGGGGGGGATGAAAAGTGAAATTCGCAAAAGTGTTGATCGTTTTAATCTTGCGTAAAATGAAATTAAGAAAATTTATCAGAAATCTTAATCGTTAATGACGTTAGGAATAAAAATCCTGGCAAGAAGGGGGAAAGTTTTAGAGAGAGTTTCGAAATCCCTCGCGGATTCGTCCTTGAGCTCTTTTCTTCGGACAGGTAAAACGATACGGGAAACAATAAAATGATAAACACTCACCATAGACACAGGAATGGGTCCTCCGGCGCCATTGGGGTAAGGATACGGCGAGACGAGGTAGCCCATGTTGAACGACGAGGTATGTGGCGTCGGATCCACCTTACCTGTTCGAAAAAGGAAAAAAGAAAAAGACAACAGGTGAGCACGTCAGGTTGGTATTGGAAATTATCGAAAAAACAGATCTCGATCGTGGGCCCCGTTAGGCGGGACCATTCTTAACACTTAACTCCGAGCCTAACTCTTCATATTCTTTCTAATCTATCTTTAATTAAAAGATATACGCGTTTTGGAAAATATATATTTTTTTATTTTATTTATCTAAGACCGTCCAGCATAATTTTCATTTAATCGGAATTTTTAATCCCACGCTACGGTTGCTCTTTGAACCATTTTTTTTCGATCCAATCTTGTTTCCTTCGAATTAAAAATGTTCACTCACTTTCGCAGAAAAATTAATTAAATAACGTAAGAAAGAATTAAAGTTATGCAAATGTAATGCACGCGTACAAATTTCGCTGTGAATCATTTTCGATCCGATCTCGCTTCCTTCGTTATTTATTAAAAATATTATATAAAAAAAATTATAATAATAATAAATATATAGAAATAAAAACACTTGTATTATTTACAATAATTATTCGAAGCTCGAATATTAATTGAAACCTATCAATCCTCAAAAAAAGAAAGGAACAAAAATTAACATAATTCCTCCCTCTTATCAAAGTATTATCGCGTCATTGAACCACTCTATTCGTTCGAACGAGATTAAAAACAATAATCGAGGAATCCAACCCTTTTTTTTATTTTTTTCGTTAAATAAACGACACGACGCATTATTTTCCCGATCGTTTTCGCGATATATCATCAGGATTAATCAGAAAAAAATATGAAGTGCAAAAAAGCACGAAGGCTCTGCGCCGGCAAGCGTGAAAAATCCAACGAGCCTTTTCACCCATCGAAGTTTATCTTTTCACGCTTATCCGGCGTAAACGGTCTTCGAATAATTATATCCGACGATTCCCTCCCTGGCAATTAAACGCAGCTACCCAGCACGCAACACGGAGCGTACACGGATCCGAGCCGTTTCCAGCTCCGTAACGTGTACCGCCA